TACTTACAATTCTACCCCTAGAGATTTGAACGTGACATTATCCCAAGAAACGCAAAACTTTTCAAGCAAAACGGTAAGGGTTTTCTACGAATAATTCATGTTGGCATATTGGACCGAACTCCCCTATTCAAAACATTATTTACCTATCCCAGATCTGACAAACATCCATTTTTTGCTGTCACACCATAATGAACTGTTGGCAACATCGCTTTGTTATTCCCTATCATCTTCCTATGATATGCCTTCCATGAGCGACTACCTCTCGATGAGTAGAATTTTGGGAGGAAAAGGGGTCTTGTCCCAAATCTTCTTATGACTCCTATATATTTTCAAGGGTGCCATTCGATAGTTTACCTTGAGCCTACCTAGGCTTTGAATTTGACGTATTCATTTCAATGTCACCCTGTATATGTGGTCTTCAATCTGCTACAAAAAAACAAATCATTATTATCAAAAGAAGGAAGTAAAACTTGCGTATTTTCATACGGTCCTGTGATATATTTGAGCAGATTCAACTGGTAGCACTGCCATTGATTCTACTAAATTCTTTTATGCACTGGACGATTCAGAATTCGAAACTATATGAATATGACCTCAATTCATTTCAGAAAAAAAAATGGATTTGACCAGTTTATGCATTGAAACCTTCAATTATTGACCCTTTTGTCGTTGTGTCTCTAGCTCCTGGTAGGCGTTCCAAGATTAAGCGAAATATGGGAATTTTCAGAAGTGCAATAAGGTTATGATTATATCATTTGGATATTCCATAAAAAGCTTGTCCAAATTTACATGAATGCAATAAATATCATGTACACAAACTAAATGGAATGATATCCCATTTTATATGTAGATTGTTCAAATCTGGATGTTTGTCGCGAGTCACTTCGAAAGGAAATGTTCCCAGTACAACTGCTGAACATAATCACCCACCGGAGGAAGTTGAAGTACAAGTTCTCCGTTTCCGACAGGAACTCAAACGGGGAGCTTGTTCGGAGAACATTTCACTTCATGAAATTTCCACAAGCGAGCAGATGAGACATTCAGAAATTACCCAACATATTGGCTCCCATGACAGTGATAGATCGACATTATATAGAGTGAGGCAACTTGGTACACCTCTTATTCCTGGATGTCTCGAAGACTTCCATATCCCTATCACTGATGACAAGTGAGTATGAAACAAACAATACACAAAAATAAATAGGACAATTATATAACTGACAGAACATAATTCTGTAACGAACAATCGCACATTACAAGAAAAATTCACATACTTAACAAAAAGCAATAATTCAACAATCGATGAAAAACAAAACTGATTCACATCCTGATTAGGAACGAGAACAAAATACATTTTGAGTTGGAGAGACCGATATGCAAAAACTTGCAGAAACTGGTTTGGGAGAGCAGTTTCATCACACAACATTAACGGCCACTGACGATTCCAAAATAGCTGTGTTTGTATCAACAACAGTCTGCAATATCATAAAAAGGTATGAGGCAGGCAGTGTCTGCCTTCAAATGGATGCAACATCCAAAGTTGTTCCTAGAGCTGGTGATGAGGCACTTCAGTTATTCATAATCCACATATATTTACATGAAACGGTAAGTATTGTAGTAGTAGTAGTAGTAGTAGTAGTAGTAGTAGTAGTAGTAGTAGTAGTTTTTTTTTTTTTTTTTTTTTGGGGAGTGGAAAATCTTCAAAAAGACGAATGGTCGCCCATTGACCAGACAGTGTCAGATTTTTACTGACTAAAAAACCACTCGTGAACTTAGGAAGGCCTCTTCGGGACTACCTTCGGGTATTACTTCGAAGAGGGTCGTTCTGTTGTTGTTATGGGCTCTTCCTTTTATTTTCCATCATATTTCCCCTCCATTTCCTATTGCTTCTTTCCTTTTCGTGGATATAATTATCATGGCCAGTTCACTCACCGTTTTCCAGTTCGTTTTCTTCTCCAACATTTTGTCTATCAGGTTTTCCGGCGTCAGTCTCCCGAGCTCTTCTTCGGCCTTGTTTCTCTGCTCATTCCATCTACAGCAATCGAAAAAAGTGTGTTCAGCTGTATCACACATTCCGCAATATTGGCATTCATCTGTGTTACTCAGCTTGAATCGGTGTAGGTACGACTGAAAGCACCCATGCCCTGTGAGGATCTGGGTGAGAAAAAAGTTAACCTCACCCCATTTCCTGTTGACCCATGGTCGTATGTCCGGGATCAGCCTCTTTGTCCAGCGCGCTGTGTTTTCTTCGTACTCCCAGTTGTCCTGCCATTTATTCATTATGTATTCGCGAGCCGCCCCTCGACTAGTGTTATCCTGTATCATCGACCTCTCCTCTACCAGTAGATCTATTGAGGGGGTTCTTGCAATCACCATCAGCGCTTTGGTTGATGGGGTTCTGTAGGCACAGGTTATTCTTATAGCCGCTTTTCTTTGCACGCTCAGCAGGGTGTCTCTATAGATTTTTTTTTTCATGGCTCTCTTCCAGACTGTTGCACCATACAGCATGATCGACAACGCGACGGAGCAAAGTATTTTTCTGTTTCCTTCTCGAGGTCCACCGATGTTAGGCATTAGCCTGGTGATGTTCCCTATGGCTTTTCCAGCCTTTTCAGCAATTTTTCTGATATGCGTTCCCATTCTCAAGTTTCTGTCCAAATGAATACCGAGATATTTGACTGATTCTTGGCTATGAATGTTCACGTCCCCAATTATTACTGTGACATTTTTTATTGTTCTACCTCCTGCCAGTATTACAAGCTCTGATTTTTGAGGAGCTAGCTTGAGTTGCTTCGTCGCCATCCACTCCGATATATCCTCTAGAACTCTATTAGCCATTGCTTCTAATCCTTCCGCATCTTTTGCTACCACCAGTACCGCCAGGTCGTCTGCATACCCTATAAGGTGAACCCCCCTGGGGACCCGTATATTCAGCACTCCATCATAATATATGTTCCATAGAATGGGACCAATCACTGAACCTTGTGGTACACCACAACTGATGTCCATCTTTCCTTTGGATCCTATCAGCAGCACTCTATCTTCCAGGTAGCTGGCAATCATATTGTAAAGATATGCTGGTAATCCTCTTCGTCTAAGTTCATTCAAGATTCCTTTCCATGGGGCCGAATTGAAGGCATTTTGTACATCTAAAGTTATCATTATACATCTCTTTCTCCCAGTTCTCTCGTTTGCCTCGTCAGCAATCTCTAGCACCTTTTCCAGTGCGTTTATGGTAGATCTGCCTTCTCTAAACCCGTACTGATGTTCGTTCAGATCTCCTCTTCTCATTATCTCATTCGTCAGTCTTGCTTTTATTAGATACTCTAAAAGTTTGCTCAAGCCATTCAATATACATATAGGCCTATATGTTTTATCGGTGCCTGGTTTCCCTTTCTCGAAAAGTACGAGTCTGGCCACCTTCCAGTCCTTAGGAAAATGGCCCATAGTTAGTGCATGGTTCATGATCTTCAAACAAAAATCTGGGTGAGCCTTAACAACTGCTTTGATGACTTCTGAAGGAATTCCATCTGGCCCAGAAGCCTTTTTTTCTTTCAACCTCTCATTGGCAACAAGGAGTTCGTTCTTGGTGAAGGGTGGTATATCTTCTTGTCCAGTTTGCAATCTGTCCCATCTCTCGACTCGATGAGTTGGAAACAGTTTCTTGGCTATTTCTATTTGATTTTCTTCTGTCTCTCTGATAGGCGTCTTACCTCTGAACTTATCTGTGACAATTTGGTAGCCTTTTCCCCATATATCCGAGTCTACTTCATCAATTAGTGTTCCCCACGCACTCTTTTTGGCTTCTAGTATGATTTTCTTCAGGGTGGATCTGCTTTGCCTGTATTCTCTCTGAATGCGGAACTTATGTGCTGTATCATCTGTTCTATTTGCCCTTACCATTTTTCTTCTAGCTTGTACACATATCCTGCGTGCATCTGCCACTTCATCTGACCACCAGTATACTGGATTTCTATTGCCTTTAGCTCTTTTCTTCGGAAAGATCTTGTTGCAACCAGCTGTTATGATGTTTTGAAGTTTTTTGGCGTCTACGCTATCACCTTTTTCAAAAAGTTTTCTGCCTATATCATCTGTGAGTTTCTCTAGGTCTCCCTTCACTATTCGCCAGCCTGTGTTCACCTTATTTTCACCCTTATTTATTTTATCAACTATTTTGTATACAATATGCTGGTGATAGCTTAGACTCTCCTCTTCAATCACTTTCCATTCTGTAACGTACTTAGCGAGTTTGCTAGTGCTGAAAGTTAAATCTATATATGACTTGCTGTCTCCCCTCACGAAGGTTGGTACATCACCCACATTGTGGACAATTAGTTCATCTTCACATAACCATTCGGACAGGATTTGACCTCTTCTATCCTCAACTGGTGAATTCCATATGTGCGATTTTGCGTTGAAGTCTCCTCCTACTAATATATCCTTTTTGTGTATTTTCATGTCTTCTCTGAGGTTATGAAGGAAATTATTGAAAGTATCGGTGTCGATGTTCGGAGAGATGTAGCAACCGTAAATCACGGCTCGTTCAGTTTCGATCCAGACAAAGCCTGATCCACATCCTACTTTTGTTACATTGACTTTTTTTGTGCGTATATATATTGCGACATCCAAATTTCTATCTACTATCCACTCACTATTTGCAACTTTTTTTCTGTTAGGTTCTGCCATGATCACTACGTCTGCTCGTGTCTCCTCAGCGTATTTATACATCAGATCTGTAGCTTCTCTACCCCTATCTAGGTTTCCCTGTAGTATTGTGAGCATTACAGAGCTGCCACACTTCCTCTCTTCTCCTTCTTCATGGCCTCCTGCATTTTTTTGTATTCTGGGCACCTTGACGATTCTGCCCTGTGTCCTTCGACATTGCACAAGTAGCATTTCTGCATTCCTTCACAATCTTTTTTAATGTGACCAAGTTCACCGCATTTGTGACATCTTGTTTCATCTTCTTTCTGTGTACAATCTCTTATTGCATGCCCTACTTTTTGACACCTATAGCATTTCTTGACTTCGTCAACTTTCTTTATGCGCCATCTATTCCATCCGTTTCCAATTCTTCTTCTATTCTCGATTAGCTTAGCACTATCTTCTCCTAGGGTGATGAAGGCGTATTTGAGCCCTCTATCGTTTATTTTCTCCGATAATTTTATTCGCATTCCTTCTGAGTGTCCACTATTTGTTTCTTTAGATAATACCCTTCTGACTTCTTCTTCTTCTACTGTCTCATCAATATCTAGGATCATGAAAGTTTGTGTTTTTTGTTTGAAATGAATTTTAGCTACTCCTTCTAGTTTTTCGGTCAGTGTTGCTCGAAATAGTGATCTGCTCTTTTCCTCTTTTCCTTTGATCTTTATTTGCACATTACCATTGTTGGTTTTATTGATTTTATCAATCGTTATTCCTTCAGTATCCACTGTATCCTTCATGCTTTTGACCAGTTGGGCATACGATGTTCCATCAGCAGGCTTCAGTATGATTACGTCTTCCTCTCTTCTTTTCCTTGCTCCTTCCCATTCTGTTTTTTGGTCTACACCTTTATATAGGACCCAGTTCACATCCTGTTCTCTGCCTACCCATTCCAAGCATTTTCTCGTACTCGTACCATCTACTTGTTTCGTAACTACGCAGGCAATTTCACTGTGACCACATGTTTTGGTAATTTCTGCTATTTTTCTAAGGTTATCTCTAAGACTAATTCTATCTGTTCCAGCCTTAGCCCCATTGGTGGAGATTATGTACGTATACCGTATCAAGGCCTCTTCGAATCCCCCTTTTTCGGCCATCATTTCACTGACCGTTTTCGTTCCGACCATTTTTCCCGCTTCCAGCTTTTCTTGTTCTACAATTCTAGAGATTTGTAGATTTCTTTCTGTTGCCTTCTTTATAAAATTGTCCGTATCCTTTTCACCTTCTTTTGTTATTATAATGACGCTTCTTTCCTCGCCTATGAGCTCTGTTTCTATGCTTCGTCTGCATCTTTCAAAGGCATCCTCTGGCCAAGATAGGTCTATCACTTCTTCAACTTCTTCTTCTTTTATTTCATTTCTCAGTCCGTCCTCAATTCTCATGAGGATTGTAGACTTTTCCTCACTCCATTCCGTTGTTTGAGTGCCTATTTCTCTGGTTTTGTTGGACTTTGTTTCTGCATCTGTGTTTGTGGTCTGACTTCCGGCTTTTCTCGTTTCTCTATTCTTCCTTCTGTTTTGAGTCCCTCAATTACCTCTGCCATGACACCTAACGCCTTAGGCATTCTATTTACATACCCATCTAGTTTCTTGATAGCGTTTTTTATTTCTTTCTTCGTATTCGGTATCTCTGTGATTACAGACTTAACCATTTCTAATTCTTCTGCCATTCTCTTCGCTATGTCTTTAAGGGCATTATATTCTTTCTCAGCATTCCTCGTGGATTCTGCCTTTTCCTTTTCGCTTTTTACTGGAGTTGTTTCTCTTTTCCTTTTTTCTCGCGCTTGTTCTTCATCGCTGTCTCTCGCTTGGGCATTTAGGAATATGTGGCTTGTTAGCGAGTTCACCCGTTTTCTTCCCTCTGATGTTCCTTGGGCCACTTCTCTTGCTATCTTTCTGATAGGCGATCTCGAGATCTTTTGACTCCTGTTGAAAGCATAAACATCTTGTGAACTCGCCGGGCTATCAAACCCAGCCTGGATTTCCACATTGGTATCTTTGCAGTCGCTGGTTGACGATCGGGTGTGGCCTGCCATCTCACCACGGCTCCCGACCGGTACTGGGGTTCCGAGTCCCTGCACCGTAAAATCCTCTTCTTTATTTGTACTTCCCATAATTTTATTTGAGTTTCCTGTTTCATAGCCTTGTCGTCGTCGATCGATCAGTCCAAAGAAGGGTAGAAGAAAGAAAAAGTGGAAAGATTAAAGACCCCTAGCCCTCGCAAACCTAATAGCTTCGGGGTCGGAAGACAATATTTAGCCAAGAGAGACTAGATAGGAAAGATTAAAGGGAAGGGAACCCCACTCAAGACAAGTTGAAATAAAGTGAGTATTCAGCTAGGGTACCTCGGGGTTGCCATTCCCGTACTCGCCAGATGCGAGCCCCTGAGGAAAGTAATAGTAGTAGTAGTAGTAGTAGTAGTAGTAGTAGTAGTAGTAGTAGTAATAGTAGTAGAAGTAGTAGTTGAAGTAGTAGTAGTAGTGGTAGTAGTAGTAGTAGTAATAATAATAGCAGTAGGTCAGGGCAGATCCAGGCAGTATTCGGGAGAGGCATAGAAAGTCATGGCCACTTCAGTACAAGTAAGCAAGAGTCAAATGTACAGTGTGTCCACAAAGTCACAACCACCGTCTCAACTTTTGACTGACTGAGTATGTTTCAGAGATATTTTCTTTCTTCAATGAAAGTTTGATAGAATTTAAAATTTTTCGAAATGGCGACGAGGCCCCATATTGAAACACATTTTTCAAATTGAAAGGGGGTCAAGTGAGTCATTCAAAATGTGATTCAATCCTGTGAAATAACTTTTCATTGATTACACAATAGCAACTTTTATATAGTGGAACAACATTCCTATTTTTGATAATTACACGCCAATAGATGATCAAAAAACCCTCTCGTGATTTTTTGAATAATATGTTGATATTATATCAGTTTGGCGCTTTCAGACTTGGTTTTTGGAGTCGGAATAGTACCTATTTGATTGTAGAAGGCACAAAGTCTACCATTGACGCGGAGTAATTTGAAGAAATAAATAGATAAATAAATAAATAATTATAAATAATAAATAAATAAATAATTATATTCATTAGAATATAATTCAATTACATCTGTTTTCTATGATCAGTGATTATTGATTCTCCTGATCATAGAAAATGTTGAACCTATCCTAGGAAGATTAACACAAGAGGATTTTTAATATTATTGATAGTCTTATGATCACAAAAATCAAGATGTAGGAGTTCCATTACCTACAACAATCACTATTTTCTTCTGGATGGAATTTTTTCCTTCATTACTTTACACAATGAATGAAGAATTGAATTCATTTCTGAATGAGAAATCGTTCGACCCCCTTTGCCATAAAAAAATACTTGAAAGTAGTCTTCACTCCCATTGAAGCAGAGAAATTGAAAACATATTCAGTGGGTCTGCGGTTAACTACAAAGTTTTATCTGCATGTTATTCCGCTGTTTCTGTAATTCAGGACGAATAATCAATAAGAGATCAGGAAAGACGTATATCCCTCTGTATCTGCCCTAAGATAGTTGAGATATATCTAGTATTGTTCGTATTTCACAGGTATTCTCAATTGTTCACGCATAAATGCAAAGAAAAACCATATCTGCATATGAAAAGGCTTTCAGTTTCATTCGAAAAATTCTGCCAGGCATGTTGCCTGCCTCCATAATGGCAGATTACGGGGCATCACTTAGGTCGGCTGTCACGGTGATCTGGACTACAGTGATGATGAATGGATGCTGGTTTCATTATTGCCAGGCAGTGTTCAGAAAATCACGCAGGTTGGGGTTACAGGTAATTATCACTCTATCTCCATAAAATATTGTGGATATCATGAAGGTATTCATATTATCAAGATATTATGATCAACTCATAGTGATATTCGAGGAAATGTATAGGCTCTGTTTATCAAACTCCAATATTGAACTTTACCCTAGCTTGAAGTCTTCTACTTTCAAGACTGCTCATAATAGAACATTCAGTTTCATCATCAGATTATAAAAACAGTCACTGCCAAGGGCGCATTCAGGAGGAGGGGGGCATATAGGCCATCGCGATCCCTGATAAATATATAAAAATTCAGCAAACCATATACTTTCCACTATAAGACATGACTGTTCACTACTACAATCATACCATATCAAGGTACCAATTAGCTGTCAATTCATGAAGAATAATAGAGCAACCCTTATCTTCAGTCTACTAAGAAATAATTTCGATCAGAGAGATTTTTTAATCATTAATTGTTGTATAATTGAAGTGGAAGGAGGGTGCTGAATAATGTGGCCATAACATACTATAGCCCTGTCCAATTATTAGTTGGGTCCGTCCTTAGCAGAATAATTTAACGATTTCTACTCTACTACTCCTGCAGCAGTAGTGAAAACGAAATATAATTCTAAAACAAAGGAAAATACAACCCAATTCTGAAAAAGAAATATTAATTCAAACAATTCTGAAACCAACCAACTAACTAATGGTAGTAGAGATGTGAATATATTATTATAAGAAATTATGATTCTGAAACAAATAGAATACGATTTCAGAACAAACATTAGAGACAAGAATAAAATAATCCTCAAACTAGCAAGACACAATTCTGAAACAAACAAACTAACAAAATGAATAAAAATTGAAAAGCATTGAACACCCCACTTGAGAATTGTTAATGGAGCCGATGAAACATCCAGAAATCGTTCCACAATTTCATTCACCCCTAAACTTCGACTCTACTACTACTGCAGCAGTTACCTCAGAAATAATAATAATGACAATAATAATATTAAAAAAAATTTATCTGAAACTCGCGCCCCACTAACAAGATGCATAGGTACTTGCTATGTTATGTTGGAAGATGTTGAAATTTAGTATCATGTTTTCGCAATAATTTCAGTAATTGTAGGACTAGAAGTGATATTTAAGGATCACCTTTGAATTGTTCTGAATAATCTTCCATCTATCATCCAGCTAACGCATGATGAGGAACAGAAGAGGATATTGAAGATGGTCATGACCTTACCTCTTCTTCGATCGAGGTATCGATATATTAGCTGAGGAAAATGTGACCCATCCACTATTTGAGGTCCGGGCAACGCGGAACATCGCCATCCATGGCCTCCCCTAAAGAAACAACAATGCGGTAGAGTCAATCCATAGGAATCTCTTCCGTATTGTTGGGAAAGCGCATCCGAAATGTGAGTTCTCATTCAGAACATAAAGGCAGTGGAGCACTCCAAGAGCTGCGACTTGATTCGTCTCGAAAATGGATTGACAATCCCCAGACAGCGTACACCCATATATCAACACGCTGAAAAGGTTAAAAAAAGGCCCAACAGCTGTTTGGAGATAATCCCAATGTCAGTTTATTCTTGAGACGAGTGAGCCACACACTGGAGAGGTTGGCACGAATGTTCCAGCCAGCTTTGGGTAAGTCAAAACAAACAAAATTACTTCATTCTGGAAATAAAAAAAAATCTTTGCATGTTTCCGATTCACAGAAATTCTTCATCAGCAATTGAGTATACGGTATGGGGCAACACCTGGAATATTAAAACGGGAGTACAAAAAATGACGGATTTGAAAATTCGTGTGACAAACAGAATGTAAAGGCATTGTTTGAAAACATTTTATTGGCTCATCTGATGCAGAAATCAAAAGTTGTGATGATGCATTTTCATTCAATGTTGAAATGTATGCTGGACGTACGAGAAGGGATCGACGTCAGAATATTTTCAGAATTATTACAATTTCTGTAAAGAAAGGCAGTAGGTTATCGAGCAATTTCAAATACCATACTGAAATAAAATCTTCTTCCTTGATATTATCCCTGTACCTCCGAGCAACCTTTGTCTGACCTAAATTACCAGAGGAGATTTCATTGATTGATCAACATAATGAAAAATTGATTTTTCAGGCGACCAGGATGATATTGGGGAAGGGCCAGTGCCAGATATCGATGACACTACGAAGATAATGATGAAGAATTGAGTGAGTTTCTTCGTTGCTTATTGTGTTTATCTATTTTCAAGGAATTTAACTATACCATGATAATGTGAAAGGAATATCAACTCATATATTACGATCAAAACATGCTCATTATCACAACATTTTAATTCATAAGAAAAATAAAAAAATTTCAGATGATATGGATACTACTAATGATGGAAATGTGCGAGAGGCAGTGCCAGAAGCTATTATTAGTGAGTTAATATTTTATTGCTGTTGGTGATCTATCTCAAGATATCTGGAATATCCTATTTTATATGTAGATTGTCCAAATATGGATGTTTGTCGCGAGTCAATTTGAAAGAAGATGTTTCCAGTACAACTGCTGAACATGGTCACCCACCGGGGGAAGTTGAAGT